TCTTGGAGACTTAAGAATCAGGCTAGAAAAGGTTTAACAGATTAACAAATAATCAGAATTGGAAGGGACCTTGTAGGTCATCTAGTCCAACCCCCCCCCCAAGGTGTGGGGAAAAAAAACGTAAGTTCCTTTTGCTCTTTGTCACAGGACTAGAGCTAGGCAGTCCCTGACTTAATGACTGCAACTGAGCCCAAAATGTCTGTCGCTAAGTGAGCCTTGCCCCATTTTGCCACCTTTCTAGCCGCTGTTATTAAATGAATCTGTCAACTCATAAAACATTTTGTATACACATTTTATAGTTGACAACAGAAAGGGGGGGGGGGAGTTACAAAGAGCAGGCGGCAGTGTGGAATCGAAAGTACATTCCATTCATATTTTCTTCAAAGACTGATTAGATGACCGAAGCTTCTGCGACAAAAAAAATCTAATTGGAGAGCATGATTGATGACTCTTGGCTATGGACGTGTTTCATTGGATGATACACCCAGAAGGGTGGAGGGTGAAAGCAGGGTGACAGTGACTTACGTATCTCAGAGTTGGCTACTGCCGGACGTAGAATGTTACTTTCAAATAAATCCTCTTTAGGAGGAGTCATTGGAGGAATCCTGACAGAACCACTGCACTTGTGAAGTTAGGAACGTGGTTGTTAAGTGAAATCAGGGTTCCCCTTTGACTCTGCTTCTCAGAAGGTCACAAAAGGGGATCATGTGACCCCGGGACACGGCAACCGTCATAAATAGGAGCCAGTTGCCAAGGGTCTGAATTCGGATCACCTGACTCTGGGGATGCTACGATGGTCATTAAGGGCAAAAACGGTCATAAGTCGCTTTGTTTTCGGTGCCGTCGGAACTTTAGCCCCTAAATCAATGGTCGTTAAGCAAATGGGAAAAAAATTTTTTTTGGGGGGTGGGGCTCAATTATGGTCGTAAATCGAGGACTACCTGTCCGGCTAAGTATTTGCAAGATGGGGGGTGGGGAAGACACCTTTCTCGTCCCCGAGAAACCCAAAGAAGCTGAAAAGGCTTCTTGGATGAGAAGCGAAACGTCTTCAAAGGGGGGGGGAAACAGAACACCTTTCGGGACACCTAAGATTGGGGGAGGGTGGGAATCCAGTGGGAGAGGGAGGAGCAGGGGAGGGATCCACGGATTACTTCAGGAGAGGAGGGAAGCATTGTGAGGGGAAGGGGGAGATAAAAAGAGGTTCTCCATCCTACTCTGGAAGTAGGTCAACCAGCCAGAACTGCTCCGCTGGCCTCCTCCTTCCATCTCTACTCTACGGAGATTCGCCGTCATGCAAGTCCTGGTTGTCCCAAAGGTGGTTTTCTTCCCCCCCCCCCCCCCCCAAGAGGCCACTGGACTTTCTGGGTCTTTTTTTCTTTGAAGACGTTTCACTTCTCATCCAGGGAGCTTCTTCAGCTCGGTCTGGATGGTGGGGAGTGGAAGGATTTAAAGCTGGTCATTTGCATCCTTTTTTTTTAAAGAGAGTTGCTGAGGCCGCTTGGAAGTTTGTCTGTCCCCCTCAGGTCACCTTGGAACTGCTGAAAGGACCCTGTTGTAGACCGGAGACAGGTGACGTGGTCAGCAGTTGCAAGAAGGCTCCACCCCCATTTGCACCACTCAGGTGACCCCGAGGACACAGACCAACCTCCAGGTGGCCTCAACGACCCTCTCAAAGGACGCAAATGACCAGCTTTGTCTGCAAGGAATATAAATCCATTCTCCACCATCCGGTCAGAGCTGAAGAAGCTTCTTGGACGAGAAGCGAAACCTCTTCAAAAGAAGAAGAAAAAAACCACCACTGGATAGTCCAGTTGCCTCTTGGGGGGGGAAAAAAAAAGCACTTTGGGGTCTCCTGCTTCCTCCTTTCTCCTGGCTTCCCCATAAACATGTTAACTTGATCTCACATCCCGAGCTTTCTAGGGTTTGTGTTGGCAAACTGCCCACTAGAAGGACGCCTCCTTACCGTGGTCAGGGGGGCCAGATAGAGCTTGCCACGCAGATCCAGCTGGAAGAGAAAGACAGGAAGAGAGAAACGTGTGAAGGCTGGAGAATCACGGAGAATCTGCTTCCTACCCAACGAAGCCCTGCAGGCAGAAACTCTGCCATTTGTTACTGGGAAGGGATGCAGGGGTGCGTACTGGGGCAGGGGTGTGTGTGTGCTTTGAGCCATGCAAAACTCAGCAGCCCCTGAAGGGCACCCCTCGCCCGAGTCCCTTCTCTGCCTGAAAGGAGATGCCAGCTGAGGAAGGGGGAGCCAACTGGGGAGAGTCTCTGGCTCCCATTTCTTCCTTTCCTTTAGGCAAAGTCTTAAATGTAATTTGGGAAGAGCGGGGAGACGATTAGAACTCTCTGTGAGGGAGGTGGGCGGTTTCTAAATTAATTAGACAGACAGACAGACACATATAGATACATAGACAGTCAAATAAGTAAAAGTTAGATAATAAAGATGACATAGAGAGAGATATAGATAAGTTAAATAATAGAGATAAAGTTAGATAATAGATAACAGAGACAGACAGACAGACAGACAGATCTCCATCATCTATCAACTTATCTAACTTTTGTCTGTCATCTAAGTTAGAGAGATAATAGAGAGATGGGACAATCAGACAGATAAGTGAGATGAGAGATAGCTAGAAGTGGATACATAAATGTTAGATAATAGAGACAATATAGACAAACGGATGATAGATAAGTTAGATAATAGATGATAGAGACAGAGAAAAGTTAGACGACAGAGATGATAGACAGTGATAAAGTTAGATAATAGATGATAGACAGATAGAAGATAGATGTTAGATGATAGACAATATAGATGGACAGAATAGACAGGTGATAGATAGTAAATAAATGGATTAGCTAAATAAATAGCAGACAGACAAGACAGATCCATCTCCCTCTTTCAGTCTAATTCACAGCCTCTTCCTGGTGTCAGGGAGAAAAACCAAATCAGAAGCTTAGCTGTACTTCATAAAAATTGAAGAGAGAGCACCCCACAAAGGTCTCCCTTTTTTGATGAATGTATTTCAGTTTTTCTTTATGTACACTGAGAGCATTTACACCAAGACAAATTCCTTGTGGGTCCAATCACACTTGTCCAATAAAGAATTCTATTCTATTCTATTCTATTCCTATATTCTATTCTATTCTATTCTATTCTATTCTATTCTATTCTATTCTATTCTATTCTATCCTATCCTATTCTATTCCTATATTCTATTCTATTCCTATATTCTATTCCTATTCCCTATTCTTTCCAATATTCTATTCTATATTCTATTCTATTTCTATTCTCTATTCATTGCAATCTTCTCTTCTCTTCTAATTCTGTTTTATTCTTTAGGATTCTGAGGTTTATCAGCATTGAAAGCCTAAACAACCAGAACCTGGGCTCACCTTGGGTTTCTCAGAGGGCCTCAGCTTCGCCGTGTCTGCATCCGTCACCGTGCCCACCCTTTTCAGAGTGGGTTCTGCTGCAGGAAGGGGACTCCCCGCGGTCCCCAAGGCAGAACCGACTCCTTCGGATGGGCTAGAGCTGTTTGGTGCCTCCAACCTGGCCATTCCAGGCTCCTTTGTCCCTTCAGAAGCGGGGCAGTCTGACACCCCCGTCTCCGGCACCGCAGCCTGGGTGCCAGGCCTCCTTGCCGGGTGGGCCTTGCCCAGAGAACGCAGGTACTCGCCCGCTCTGGCAAAGGGCATTTTCTTCTTCCGCAGCTGCTGCTGGACGTCCTTGCTGAGGCTGTTCCGCACCGCCAGCCTCCCTTCCCACTGTTTCAGGAGGTCGGCATTCACCAGGTTCTTGTAGCCCTCTCCCAGGTGAGCCCCTGCGAACCGGCAGGTGGCCCCATAGGTGCACCTGCCGAAGGTCTCGAACAGCAGGCAGCGCCCCCCGAGGTCTGGGGGCTTGGCCGCCATGTACTCCTTGAGGTCGTGCAGGAAGCGGCAGCTGGAGCCGTAGAAGCATTTTTCCAGGCGTTCCTTGGGCGAGAGAAAAGAATGGGTGATGGGGGAAAACTGGCAGATTATTTTTTTTTTTAATAAAATGTTAATAGTCCCAAAGCTGGGTTTTTTTTTTTTTTTCCAGGGGGCAACTGGGCTTTTCTTGTTTTTCCTTTTGAAGACATTTCGCTTCTCCTCTTAGAAGCTTCTTCAGCTCTGACTGGATGGTGGGGAAGGGAAGGGATTGATACCCCTTGCAGACAAAGCTGGTCATTTGCATCCTTTCGGAGGGTCGCTGAGGCCACTTGGAGGCTCATCTGTGTCCTCAGGGTCACAGGACCACAGGAGCACCACTCAGGTGACCCTGAGGGACACACAGGTAAACCTCCAAGCGGCCTCAACAACGCTCTAAAAGGATGCAAATGACCAGATGTCTGCAAGGGGGATAAATCCTTCCTATCAGAGCTGAAGAAGCTTCTTGGATGAGAAGTGAAACGTCTTCAAAAGAAAAAAACAAGAAAAGTCCAGTTGCCTCCCGAAAAAGCACCTTTGGGACAACCAGGACCAGGATGACTGAGAATCTCTACAGACTTTTAAATTTTTATCTTTTGCACAGATGATTTTAAATTTGATTCCCCCACAATCTAAAGGCCTCTGCCTCACCGACCCCCTGGCCATCTGTCACCCTCACCTAATACGGTCTTCTGCATTTTGGACTGACCCCTTGCCAATTTGTTCTGAGCGTCTCCCAGCTATAGTGAAATCCTTTCAGCCTTTTGGGAATCTCTGGGCTGCCTCCTGTTCACAGAACTAGCAGTGACATGGTAGCAACCTTACAATATCTGAGGGGCTGCCACAAAGAAGAGGGGGTCAACCGATTCTGCAAAGCTCCTGAAGGCAGGACAAGAAGCAACGGATAGAAACGAAATCAGTTCTGTTCTGTTCTATTCTTTTATTCTCTTCTATTCTTCATTACAATATTCTATTCTATTCTCAATTCTATTCTGTTCTATTCTACTCTGCTCTTCTCTACATTCTATTCTATTCTGTTCATTAAAAAAAATCTATTCTATTTTATTCTATTCATTCCAATATTCTATTCTACTCTTCATTCCAATATTCTATTCTATTCATCTTGTTCTATTCTATTCTATATTCTATTCCTACTCTACTCTTCATTCCAATATTCCGTTCATTCTAATCCACTCCTGTCCTGTCCTTCCAGTATTTGAGGGGCTGCCACAGAGAGGAGGAAGGGGTCAAGCTATTTTCTAAAGCACCTGTAGGCCAGACAAGGAATAATAATGGATGGAAACTGAACAAGGAGAGATTCAACCTGGAAATAAGGAGAAACTTTCTGACTGTGAGAACAATCAACCAATGGAACAGAAGTTGCCTTCAGAAGTTGTGGGAGCGCCATCACTTGAGACTTTCAAGAGGAGATTGGACTACCATCTGTCAGAAATGGTGTAGGGTCTCCTGCTTGGGCGGGGGGTTGGACTAGATGACCTATAATTTCCCTTCCAACTCTGATTATCTGTTATCTGACTCGTCTCCAAGCGTGGGCCACCCATAGACAAATTTACCTGAACTACGGAGGGGCACAAGCGCTGCTTTTCGTAATGAGTCGGCTTCATGCAATGGCGGTTCTTGTTCTGCCCTCGCAGCCTCTTCCGTCCCGGAGGCTCTGGGGCGCTCTCACCGGCCAAGGCAACTTCCGCAGGCTTCTCTTCTCCAGACCCATCACGTTCCAGCTTCTGCAGCTTGGCGGGAGGCTCGTCTGGCTGGGCGGCCTGAAGATCGTTGTTTGCCCCGTCTGAATCTTTCCTCGGCTTCTCTTCCTTCTCAAGGTAGGCGTGGAAGTCCTCTTTCGTGCAGCGGTATCTCAAGGGAGAAAGATTGCAAACCCTCTGTTAATTCGGGGGGTTTTAAATCCCTTTTGCCAGTTTCTATCCCATCTGATCACTCGCCCCCCCTCCCAAAATCTATTCATCAAGTGGGCAATTCCCAAGCATGTTTAATTTTTTATTTGTAAGGTTGGAGGGCGACTGTCCCAAAGGTGCTTTTCCGGAAGGCACCTGGACTTTGCTTTTCCTTGTAGATGTTTCGCTTCTCATCCAAGCTTTCCTTGGCTCTGAAAATTGAACTAAAGACATTTCTTGGATGAGAAGGGAAATTTTGGTCGCCATACCTACAAAGAAAAGAGGTTGAGACTTTGGAAATAGTGCAGAGAAGAGCAACTAAGATGATCAAAGGCCTGGAGACTAAAACACATGAAGAACAGCTGAAAAATTTGGCCTTGGCTAGTCTAAAGAAAAGAAGAAATTAGGGGGGACATGATAGCAACATTCCAGTATTTGAGAGGCTGCCCCAAAGAAGAGGGGGTCAATCTATTCTCCAAAGCCCCTGAAGGCAGGACAAGAAACAGCGGATGGAAACCAATCGAGGAATTAACCTGGAACTAAGGAGAAACTTCCAAACAGAGAGGACAATTAACCAGTGGAACAAGTTGTCACTAGAAGTTGTGTATGCTCCATCCCTGGAGGCTTTTAAGAAGAGACAAATAACAGATAATCAGAGTTGGAAGGGACCTTGGAGGTCATCTAGTACAACCCCCCCATCCCACCCAAGCAGGAGACCCTACACCATTTCTGACCGATGGCAGACCGGTCTCTTCTTGAAAGTGTCAAGTGATGATACTCCCACAACTTCTGAGGGCAACTCCTGTTCCATTGGTTGATTGTTCTCACTGTCAGAAAGTTTCTCCTTATTTCCAGGTTGAATCTCTCCTTGTTCAGTTTCCATCCATTATTATTCCTTGTCTGGCCTACAGGCGCTTTAGGAAATAGCTTGACCCCTTCCTCCTCTCTGGGGCAGCCCCTCAAATACTGGAAGACTGCTCTCCTGTCTCCCCTGGTCCTTCTCGTCCCTAGAGTAGACATACCAATTCTTGCAACCGTTCATCGTAAGTTTCAGCCTCTAATCATCCTGGTTGCTCTTCTCTGCACTCTTTCCAGAGTCTCAACATCTTTTTTTTTATAGATGTTGAGACTTCCAAGCCATTTGTCTGAAATGCTGTAGGGTCTCCTGCTTGAGCACGGGGCTGGACTAGAAGACCTCCAAGGTCCCTTTTCAGCTCTATTCTGATTCTTTGTTCTCCAAAGCGCCAGGACAGGCAGGACAAGAAGCAATGGATGGAAACCTGGAATGAAGGAGAAACTTTCTAACAGGGAGGACAATCAGCCAGTGGGACAGTTTGCCACCAGAAATCATGGGCAGTTCCATCATGGGAGGTTTTCAAGAAGGGACTGGACAGCCACTTGTCTGGAATGATATAGGGTCTCCTGCTTGAGCAGGGAGGGCAGGACTAGATGACCTCCAAGGTCCCTTCCAGCTCTATTCTATCCTAAGCAAGGAGAGAAGCAGCCTGGAATTGAGGAGAAGCTTCTTTAACAGTGAGGACAATTCACCAGGGGAACTGCTTGCCACCAGAAGTTGTGGGGGCTCCATCGCTGGAGGCTTTTAAGAAGAGGCTGGATGTCTAGTAGGATCTCCTGCAGGTCGTAACTCCGAGGAACTCACGTGGGGCGGACAAGGGGGGGCTTCCAGAGCTGCGAAGCGGGGAAAAGGCCCTGGGCAGAGAAAAGCTGAGCCCCCAAGGGCCTCGGCCCGCTCGGAGAGGTAGGCCAAAGCCCCGGGACTCTCGTACTCACTGGGCTCGGATGGGGGCCACTCCGGCCGCCTCCATGGCTGGCCTGCCTTCCCGACCTACTCGGAAGCGCGGCTGGTGGTGGTGGTGGTGAGGAGCCTAGAGCGTCCCGGATGTTCATCAGCGTGCCGTTCTAGGAATTGTCCTCCAGGGATAACTGTGGCCGCGGGGGCGGGGCTCCCGAGGCTGGAAAAGCGTGGGAAGGAGGTTTCCTTCCCCCCTCCCCTCAGTGCGGGAAAAAAAACAACACGTTAGCCGGACTCCTTCAGTAATTACATTTAATTCGTTTCATTAAGTTCTAATTAGCCACAGAATAAGAAAAGGGAGTCAATATTTTCTCTGTAGAAAGAAATATCTGTCTCGGCTTCGTCCCCTCAGTTCCCGCCGCCCACCTTTTCGCGGCGCGACTGATTCCCTCTTCAGCCAATGAGGGAACAAGAGCCGACGGACGTGAGCTCCGTGCGGCAACGGGGCGGGACTCTGACCGGAAGTTGGCAAAAAAGGCGCCAATTCTGAGGGGATGCCTGTGGTGGAACTGCCTCGCAAGTGTTCCCGCTCATTGTGCACTCAGGAACGTGAGGACTGGGATCTTGACTCGCATTTAAGGACCGCAGCAGAGTCAGCGTGGACTCCGACTCCCAGAATTCCCTAGTCAGGCATTTGCGGACTTCTGCTCCCAGGATTTCCTAGCTAGCCTGGGGAAGTGAGAACAATCAACCAATGGAACATAATTTGCCTTCGGAAATTGTGGGAGCTTCATCCCTGGAGGCTTCCAAGAAGAGACTGGACTGCCATCTGTCAGAAATGGTGTAGGGTCTCCTGCTTGGACCGGGGTTGGACTAGATGACCTACAAGGTCCCTTCCAACTCTGCTAATCTGCATATGTGGAATTCTGCCCATCTTAAAGAGGCCAAACCTGAAAAACACTGCTTTGGATAGATGTTTCCCCCATTTTCTTTTGAATCTGCTGGGGAGAGATGGTCTTGCCCTCCCCTCCATGGCTGGGGGGACTCTGAGCGTCTTATCAAGGCTTTTCCTGCAACGTTTGTGTTTCTTTGTTTATAGGAGAAAGGCTTCTTGTGTCAGTGGAACCAGACCCTATAGCAGGAGATGGCAACTATGGCTTTTTTTTTAATGACCAAGAGCTCCCAACAGTGGGAACAATTAACCAGTGGGACAGCTTGCCACCAGAAGTTGTGGCCAGTCTAGAGAAAAGAAGAATTAGGGATAACATGATAGCAGTCTTCCAATATTTGAAGGGCTGTCCCAAAGAGGGGGTCAAATTATTCTCTAAAGCACCAGAGGGCAGGACAAGAAACAATAGACAGAAACTCATCAAGGAGAGAAGCAACCAATTAAGGAGGAATTTCCTAACAGTGAGGACAATTAACCAGTGGAACAGCTTACTACAAGAAATTGTGGGTGTTTCATCACTGGAGGTTTTTAAGGAGAGACTGGACAGCCATTTGTCTGAAGTGCTATAAGTTTTCCTGCTTGATTAGTGGGTTGGATTAGAAGACCTCCAAGATCCCTCCCAACTCTGTTACTCTGTTAAAGAAGAGGGGGGTCAACCTATTCTCCAAAGCACCAGAGGCATGATAAGAAACAATGGATAGAAACTAATAAAGGATTGAAGCAACCTGGAATTAAGGAGAAACTTCCTAACAGTGAGGACAATTAACCAGTGGAACAACTTGCCACTAGGAATTGTGGTTGCTTCATCATTGGAGGTTTTCAAGAAGAGTCCTCCTGTTCAACCTAGTGTGAATAAAAGTCTTAACATTTCATCAGTTGTGCCTTTGGATATGTAGGCTGCAAGGGTGGGTTTCTACCGGTTCTGTCCACCTCTGTAGAACCGGTAGCTCTGAAGAGCAGCAGACATAGAGCCAGACATAGAACCGGTTATATGTCTGCTGATGTTTTTGCCCACTCGGGCTCTTACCTGAACTTTATTTCCTGATTTTTCAACTTCATCTGCAGAATGAGGTACAGCTGCAGTTAAAAAAAAAACAAGAAAAGGCTGTTTCAAAGGCTGCTTCTGATGACACTAATGAGGTGCTAATGAAGATCTATGACTATTTACAGGCTGGCTCACTGGGCAGGGAAGCTAGTAAATCCCGAACAGTAGTTAACCCTTTCGTATCCCACCCCTGGTAGGCTGTCACAAGTTTTGGAAAAATAAACTGGTTTCTGTTTGTCAAACCTCTCAAGAAGGATTCAATTTATCAGATACTGTAGGCGGCACTATTGTGCTATGCCAGGTTTTGCAGTGAGTCACTCCTGGCACTTTTAGGTACATTTATTTACTCCCGAGTTTATATCACCCTTAGCCCAATGAGCCTCAGCAAGTTATGTGATAGGTTGTATTAAAAATATAAAACATTCTGACTTAGATTAAAAACCCTAACTAAAAATCTATCATCAACTTCGGCCTAAAAGGAAACAAAAGATGGGTCAGTGCATGAACTCCTGGAAAGATTGAGATTTCTGTTCTTAGCAGCTTTCTGAAAACCAACAAGGAAGGGGCAAAGTAGTCACAGAAAGGGACATTTGCAGCAAGATGATGGTTGAAGTGATTTCTTGCAACAAAGCTCTGCAGAGGGTGCAGAACCAGCAGGAATTTCAAGGCGAAGTAAATCCGTTGTGGGGACTTGGATCCAGTTTAGCTCATTTCCAGTCCTATTTGGATCCAGAGTTGTGATGTCAGTTTACCAGATCCTAGTTTAGGAGGTATTTCCTCCTAAAGTAAAAGAACCCTTCTTCCTGAGGAAAGCATGCAGAAAACTAAGGGATCCAATCAACTCAGATCTTTATTAAGGCCAAAGACTAGTATGGAAAATTAAGGGACATTGGTGATGACTTAGGAGAGAGACACTGGGCAGTTGGATAAAGGAAAAAGAAGAAAGAAAGAAAGCTGGTGGCCTTTGAAATAATTATTCTGCAATTAAGCCTTTGGGGGTTTGTAAAGAGAGACTGCTCTTATATAATGTGATGTTTAAATAAAATGTTCATTGTTTATTGTTAACTGGTCCTCTGAGCAGGGGTGGGACACGAAAGGGTTAACTACCTGTTTGGGATTTACGAGCTTCCCTGCCGCTGTGAGCCTGTAAATTGTCATAAATCAGCATTAGCACGCTGCCTGCCGAGAAGCAGCTTTTGAAACAGCTCTCTTGTTTTTTTGTAACTGCAGCTGTGTCTTGTTTGGCAGCTGAAGTTGAAAAATCAGGAAATAAAATCAGGTAAGAGCCCAGGTGGGCAAAAACATCAGCAGACATAGAACCGGTTCTATGTCTGCTGCTCTTCAGAGCAACCGGTTCTACAGAGGTGGACAGAACCGGTAGAAGCCCACCCCTGCCTCTGAGTAACTGAAAAGCAGAATCTAACCTCCCCGTGTTAATTTAAGGTGCTCCCTACTAGGGGAAAAAAAACTCACAAGAGAGGAGATGATGTTCCAGTGGCATCTGGCTATGTTAAAGTATGTCAATCGCCAAAATAGTTGCTTTCCAAATAATCCTAGTTTCGTTGCAGTGGCTCATGTGCCACAGGAGTTTAGCTGGTTACGGCACTGCGATGACTGCTGGAGTGGCTTCTTCAGCCTCATGTAGAAGGAGACGGAGGACAAGCCAAAAGGTGACACTGGAAGAGATCACGGTGGAAAGAAAGGATCAAGGGAGGACCCATTCATGCCACAATCAGTTTCTTTTTCAAAAAAAAAATAAATCACTTTTTCAAGTTACTTTTCTTCAGATTTTCTTATCCTGCCTTCACTATGTTTATAAATAGTCCAAAGTGGCCTATCTCCTCCTCCTTCCTCCTATTTTCCCCACAACAACTACGCCATGAAGTGAACTGGGCTGAAAGAAAGTGACTGTCCCAAGGTCACCCAGCTGGCTTTTATGCCTAAGGCGGGACTAGAACTCCTGGCAACTGGTTCAAAGACACCCAGCCAGCTTTTGTGCCTAAGGCAGGACTAGAACTCACCGTCTCCTGGTTTCTAGCAGGCCCAAACTCCCAATCTTATCTTGTACTGTGCTGGAAGCTACTTTTCTGTCTCAGATGTCTTTCGGTCAGTAAATTTGTGTGGGCTGAGGAAGTCCACAGTGAGAAACAGCCCTTTCACCCTCTTCCATTTTTTGTAGCAAAAGTTCTGGTTTTAATCTTTTGAGCCCTCCAGCCAAAGGCCCCTCCAGCTGTATTGGGATACAACTTCCAAATGACCAGCCAGCGTAGCCTCAGAATTGCTAAGAATCATGACAGATATTATTTATATTTACACTTATTTATTATATTTATATGCCGCCCATCAAGTGACTCCATCCAAGGCACCTGGGAGATCCTTTTCCAATTCCTAATTGCCATTAACATCTCATTAAAAAGGGAGACTTTTTTGTCCTTTCAGTAGGATTTGTGAGTTAGAGGTGCTACCTGCCTCCCCCTGGGTTGTTGTTGTTGTTTTGGCAGTGTAGGATTTTACCATTTCCAAAACTCCAGGTGTGTACCAGTTTGGAAAAACCACCCATGTGTTTGGACGCTCCATACTTCAGACCTTCAGGGTGGTGAGGGGCAGGATCCTGCTGGCCACGGGAGCCTTTGTACTGGCATCTAATCCCCCAAATATTTCCTTTAATCCAGTTGGTTCCAGGATGATCTTCAGCCTTCTTGTGTAACTCTTTTGTTTTATACACTATTACACGCCGACTGCTGTCAGCAGGGATGAATAATTTGACATGGGAATAAAGTTGCCCTGAATGCACCTTCAGAAGAAGGCGAAATTAATGAAAGAATTTCCCAGATGGAAACAGCGCTCATTTTTCCCACACAATGTTGTTGAAAGCTGCGGAAGGAATGAAATGCAAACCTTTCCAAGCTTCCCCCAATGTGCGCATTCTGGTTCAGACCAACATTTGTATTGAGTCCAGGTGTGTTTACCCTGACCGGGCTCCCCCTGACTCCCCTGTGCCCCTCCCAAGCCCCGAATCCTGTTCTTTTAGCTTTTCTTTTGTGACACGGTGTACGGCCCTCTTGTCTGCTGCACGCAATAGCCATTTGACATACCAAACACCTGCAAACGTTTAAAAG